CCGATTGTCGGAGAGGTATCTATGGGCCCTCTCGGTAATGCACATCACATAAGCCTTGCAAGCACTGCAACTAATATGTTAGTTGTGAGATGATGTATTACGGAACGAGTAAAGAGACTTGCCGGTAACGAGATTGAACTAGGTATTGGATACCGACGATCGAATCTCGGGCAAGTAACATACCGATGACAAAGGGAACAACGTATGTTGTTATGCGGTCTGACCGATAAAGATCTTCGTAGAATATGTAGGAGCCAATATGGGCATCCAGGTCCCGCTATTGGTTATTGACCGGAGACATGTCTCGGTCATGTCTACATTGTTCTCGAACCGTAGGGTCCGCACGCTTAACGTTACGATGACAGTTATTATGAGTTTATGCATTTTGATGTACCGAAGGTTGTTCGGAGTCCCGGATGTGATCACGGACATGACGAGGAGTCTCGAAATGGTCGAGACGTAAAGATTGATATATTGGAAGCCTATGTTTGGACACCGGAAGTGTTCCGGGTGAAATCGGGATTTTACCGGAATACCGGGAGGGTTACCGGAACCCCCCGGGAGGCAAATGGGCCTATTGGGCCTTAGTGGAAAAGAGAAAAGGGGCATCCCATAGCTGGCCGCCCCCCCCCCCTTCCCCAAGTCCTATTAGGACTAGGAGAAGGGGCCGGCCCCCCTCTCTCTCTCCTTTCCCCCTTGGGAGTCCTAGTTGGAATAGGATTGAGGGGGGGAGTCCTACTCCCGGTAGGAGTAGGACTCCTCCCGCGCCCTCTCCCTAGCCGGCCGAACCCCTCCCCCTGCTCCTTTATATACGGGGGCAGGGGGCACCCCATAGACACACAAGTTGATCATTGTTGATCGTTCCTTAGCCGTGTGCGGTGCCCCCTGCCACCAAATTCCACCTCGATCATACCGTTGTAGTGCTTAGGCGAAGCCCTGCGTCGGTAGTACATCAAGATCGTCACCACGCCGTCGTGCTGACGGAACTCTTCCTCGACGCTTTGCTGGATCGGAGCCCGAGGATCGTCATCGAGCTGAACGTGTGCTAAGAACTCGGAGGTGCCGGAGTAACGGTGCTTGGATCGGTTGGATCGGGAAGAAGACGTACGACTACTTCCTCTATGTTGTGTGATCGCTTCCGCAGTCGGTCTGCGTTGGTACGTAGACAACACTCTCCCCCTCGTTGCTATGCATCACCATGATCTTGCGTGTGCGTAGGAAAATTTTCGAAATTACTACGTTCCCCAACACCTTTGAGGTCGGTAGCATGGACCGTGGGGAGTTCTTCATCGACATGGAGATCTTTGAGCATGCCCTCAACTTCAAATGGGATGTCATTGCCGTCTACGGACCGGCTGACCATAGCCGCTCAGAGACCTTCCTCGCTGAGATCCGAACGAAAGTCTTGGCCGCCCAGCTCCCGGTTGTGATGGGTGGTGACTTTAGCCTCATTCGGTCTAAAGACGATAAAGGCAATAACTTGGTCAACTTTCCCCGAATGCAAATGTTTAATGGCTGCATCGCAGACATGGGCCTCCATGAACTAGATAGGGTCGGCGCCAGGTTTACCTGGACTAACCGCCAGGCCGACCCGACCAGGTCGGTCCTCGACCGGGTCTTTGTCTCCCCGGAATGGGACTTGCGGTGCCCTCTCGCGTTGCTACGCGCGATTACTAGGATCGGTTCTGACCATGTTCCTTTACTTCTCTCCTCGGAGAACGAGCGACCTCCCCAGCCCCCCCGCTTTCGCTTCGAGACATTCTGGCTGAACCAGCCCGGGTTCGCGGCTGCGGTTGCCGCTAGGTGGCGTGAGGCTCGTGAGGCGCCCCACCGCTCCTTCTCGGCCGTCGACTCCTGGCATTTCTGTGCCAAACGGTCGCGCCAATTCATGAAAGGGTGGGGTGCTAACTTAGGTCGCGACATTCGAGAGCGGAAGCGGACTCTCCTTGAAGGCATCCAGGCTCTAGACCTCCGGGCAGATGCCGCGGGCCTCTCGGCCGAGGAATGGATGCTTAGATACGACTTGGAAGAGCAACTCTCGGTCATCTACACGGACGAGGAGGCATTCTGGCGCCTCCGAGGTACGCGGAATTGGGCCCTCAAGGGGGACGCTAATACAGCCTACTTCCAGGCAATCGCGAATGGCCGCCGCCACCGCAACACCATACCCCTGCTCTAGGATGGTGATACCCTGCTTCAACAGCTGGAGGCCATCCGGGCCCATGTTGATGGCTTCTACAGAGACCTATTCTCTGCCTCCCCTCGGGGAGGATTAGCGCTTGCCCATGATATTTGGCCGCCCCGATGTGTTTCAGAGGAGGATAACATTGCTCTTACGGCACCGTTCTCTGAAGCTGAAGTATGGGCGGCCATTAAGGGCATGAACTCATCCTCGGCCCCCGGCCCCGATGGCCTTCCAGTAAAGTTCTTTCAAACTTTCTGGGGATCCATTAAGCCTGAGGTCATGGCCCTATTTGAAGAATTCTATGTTGGGGCCATTGATCTCACGCGTCTCAACTTTGGAATAATCACGCTCATTCCCAAAGTTACGGGTGCCTCGGACATCCGCCAATTCCGCCCAATCACGGTGATCAATGTCATCTTTCGCATCCTGGCGAAGGGGTACGCCAATAGGGTGGCCCCAATTGCGGACCGAATCATCCACCCAGATCAGTCGGCTTTCATCCAGGGCCGGTATATCCTGGACGGAGTCCTAGTGTTTCACGAAGCCTTACACGAGGTGCACTCCAAGCACCTCAAGGCAGTCTTCCTGAAACTAGATTTCCACAAGGCCTACGACACGGTTAGCTGGCACTTCCTGCGTGAATGCCTGCTCCGTAAGGGCTTTGACGAGAGATGGGTGACCCGGGTGATGCAGATGGTGTGCTCAGGCAGAACCGCAGTGAATATTAACAGCGAGATTGGCCCGTTCTTCCCCACCTTTTGTGGGGTACGCCAAGGCGATCCATTCTCTCCGTTCCTATTCAACGTGGTGGTCGATGCCCTGGCAGCCATCTTAGACAAAGCAAAAGCTGCAGGCCACATCAAAGGCATAGTCCCACACTTAGTAGGAGGAACCGGCATGTCCCTCCTACAATATGCGGACGACACCATTATCATGGTGGAAGGTTCGGCGAGCGACATCTTGAACCTGAAGTTCCTCTTGCTCTGCTTCCAGCAGATGTCTGGCCTCAAGATTAACTTCGATAAGAGCTCGGTGATGGTTCTGGGAGTATCGCGGACCGGCTCAATTCCCCGCTCGGGAGTTTCCCCACAACCTATCTGGGGATACCCATTAGTGACTCGAGGCTCACGGTGGCCGAGCTTCGGCCCACGGTTGGCAAGCTCCAGCACCGTGTGGAGCCATGGCAGGGAAGGTGGCTTTCCAAAGCCGCCCGAACGGTGCTGATCAACTCGTCCCTATCCAGCCTGCTCCTATTCATAATGAGCTTTTACACCCTGCCCGAGACTCTGCGCCATGAGATTGCCAGGGTTCAGGGTCGCTTCTACTGGGCTGGTGAGGGAGACAAGCAGAAATACCACATGGTACGATGGTCTGAAATTTGTAAACCGCGTGATCAGGGCGGGCTTGGGATAATGTGCTCCAAGCGGATGAACATTGCCCTCCTAACTCGATGGCTTTGGCGGATTACGAACGGCGAGGGTGGCCTGTGGCTCCGCATCATTTAGCGGAAATATCTACGAGGCCAACCCCTCGCCTTTTGCCAACGGTCAGGTGGCTCCCAGTTCTGGCAATCTATCATACAGCTGCTTCCGGTCCTGCGCATTGGATCCTCGATTACGGTTGGATCTGGTACTGCCACGTTGTTTTGGTTTGATCGCTGGGCTGGAGAGGCCCCCTTCGCAGCTCGTTTTCCGGACCTGTTCTCCATCGCGGTAGACCCGCGCATATCGGTGGCGACGACCCTTATTGACTTAGGGCGTCTCGCATTCCGGCGTCAGTTCGGCCCAGCAGAGACTGCGGCTTGGGATGACCTGATCGCATGCATTGCGCTTCACGAACCTATGCTTGAGAATGGTGAGGACCGCACTCGATGGCGTCTAGAGCCATCTGGGCTTTTCTCCACCACGTCGCTCTACAAGGCGATAGCCCCCACTCCGGGTCCTGCGGCGCTTACCGTCATCTGGGAGATCCGGATCCCTTTGAAAATTAGGATATTCCTATGGCAATGGATTCGTGGCCGCCTTCCATCTGGGGTGGAAGTCCTGAAGCGCAGCGGCCCCGTCGACGGGCGCTGCCCGCTCTGCGGACCGGAAGAGGATTCGAACCATATTTTCTTCACCTGCCTGTCCGCGCAGTTCCTCTGGAGCTGTTTCCGCGAGACGGTTGGGGGCAGATGGGACCATAACAACTTCCCCGACCTTTTCGCCGAACTCCAGGCACTGCCACCGCCGTCCCGCCACATTACTTGGCTGACCATCGGCGTGCTTGCCTGGACGCTGTGGACTATTAGGAATGAACTTGTGATTCAACGTATTCCTCTTCGGCGCGCTACTGATGCTTTGTTCAAATGGTCTGGTTACCTGCAGCTTTGGCGGCCGCTTAGCCGCCCCAGGGAGAGAGACGCCATCACCTCCATCATCACCCAGCTTCGCGCGATGGCTCTCCGTATGGCTCCACAGCTTCCCCCTCCACCACCTGAGCCAGATTAGCTACTCTACGTCTTTGACGCCGCCGCCGTGTGTTGGGTGTGCCACCTTTGTGGTGTTTGGGTTTGTTGAGCTGTGCCCACAGCAGACTTTGTGTTGTTTGTGTTGGACCTTGTTGCGGTGGCGTTGTGTGTGTGTGTGCTGGTTGATACCTTGTTGAATGCTTGGTGGTTGCTTTATTTATAAAGCAGGGCGAAAGCCTTTTTCGGTAAATGAGATCTGTCGCAAGATTCAAGGGCATTTTGATTGTCATGCTTTTGTGTCGGTCTCCCAAAAGCCAGATACAATAAAAATTATCAAGGATGTGATTTCCCAAGTGTCCTACAGCGATGAATTCAAGAAAAGATATGGAGATTTGGGACGAAGACAAAACCATTTCAAAGCTAAGAGAACTTCTACAAGAAAAAAGGTAATTTCTCTGATTTTTGTTTCCATAAACATGTCTCGTTGTAAGCAGTCATTATTTTAACCTCTTATTTGTACATCTACTTCTATTTTTTTTCAAGAACTAAAATACTATGTAGTTATGAAATATAATGGTACAATTTTGATTCCAGAACTTCGCGAAAATGCTTGGCAGAAGAAAATAACTAAAATCATTGCTCTAAGTTTGAAAAAACAATTCAGTTACAATTTAGAGGCACACACATAAGAATATGTGCCTGCGCTTAGAGTTAACAGAGGCATGAGATCAATGCTATCTCCACACATTGAAGCTCCCACTGGGGCGCTCTTGTGTGTAAGTAAATCCCTGGTGGTTGAAGTCTGCTTGAGCAGTAAGAGTTTGCAATAGTTTGCTTGTCTGCACTAATAATCTATCGACACGAACAATCAAGAAAATATTGATGTAAAGGATTATGATTTCATTGAAATACCCTTACTTTACTATAGTTTGAGTACGTGAACAATATGTAATATCATTATTGATTGATACTATTTGCTGACATCTATCAGGTATCTTGTTATCATTGATGATATATGGTCTATAGTGGCATGGAATGCTATCAATTGTGCATTTCCGGAGAACAGCTGTTCTAGCAGAATTGTAGCTACTACACGCATATTGGAAGTAGCTAGCTCTTGTTGTCCAGGTCCTGATGACCAGATCTATGAAATGAAACCTCTAAGTGACCCTCACTCTGAAAGACTATTTTTCAGAAGAATCTTTGGCTCAGAGAATTGCTGCCCTCACATGTTTATTGAAGTTTCAAAAGCTATCTTGAAAAAGTGTGGAGGCCTACCATTGGCAATTATCAGTATATCTGGTCTACTAGCTAACAGACCACGTGTCAAAAAAGAGTGGGAGAAGGTGAAAAGATCAATTAGTTCTGACTTGAACAAAAACCAGAGTCTAGAGGGAATGAAAAATATACTGTCCTTGAGCTATAATGATCTTCCACCAAACCTCAAGACCGTCTTGTTGTACTTAAGTAATTACCCTGAGGATTATGTGATTGGCAGAGAAAGGTTGGTGAGGCAATGGATTGCGGAAGGCTTTATTTCTGAAGAGCGTGGGAGGAGCTGTCAAGAGGTTGCTGAAAGTTATTTTTATGAGCTTATCAATAAAAGCCTGGTCCAACCAGTGGACATTCGTTATGATGGAATGGTTGGTGCCTGTCGAGTTCATGACATGATGCTTGAACTTATCATTTCAAAATCCATTGAAGAAAATTTCATCACTGTGGTAAACGGCAGGCAAACTGTTTGGGAAAATTTGCATTGTTCTATTCGACGATTATCAATCCAGGACATTGACCAGGAGCTTGCATCTGAATTGGCAAAGAAAGATCTAAGCCATGTCAGATCTCTTATAATAACTGCATCAGGATGGGTCAAACACTTGCCCAGTCTTACTAAGTTTGAAACTTTACGTGTACTAGATTTTGAAGGTTGTCAGGGCCTGGCAGAGTATGATATGGATGGTATGAAAAACCTGTTCCAGCTAAAGTACCTAAGCTTTAACCGCACAGGCATATCGGAGCTACCATGTGGAATTGTGATGCTACATGATCTAAAGACGCTTGATTTTAGGAATACAATAGTCAAAGAATTGCCTTCTAGAATTGTTCAGCTAACTAAACTACAACATCTACTCAGTGGCTCAAATCAGTGGAAGCTACCAATCGGGATTGGGAATATGAAAAACTTAAGGGAGATCACAGGCTTTGACATTACCATGAGTTCAGTAGGTGCAATGAAGGAGCTAGGGAGCCTGATCAATTTGAAGGTACTCCGTGTACGGTTCATCGTGAAAGATGAAGAATCTCAAGAGTACAAGAGTCATGCAGAGATGATTCATTCCTCACTATGCAAGCTTGGCAGCTACAAACTCCAGTCCGTGTGGATATGTGGTGATAATTCATCTCCATTCAAGTTATTAGATTCCTGGTCTCCTCTTCCATCTTGCCTCCAAAGATTTGGGATGAGCACCCTGTACTGTTTATCAAAACTGCCAAACTGGATTACTCCGGCACTCACCAGTCTTGCATACCTAGATATTAATTTAAGTGTAATAACAGAGGAGGTTCTTGGCATACTTGGAGAGCTGCCTGCATTACTATCTCTGAAACTTTGTACCAACACGGTCCATAAAGACAGGCTTGTTTTGCAAGGCAGAGGATTCCGATGTTTGAAGGAGTTCCTTTATCAACCTTTTGGTGAAGGTGCAGGGATCCTTCTGTTTGAGGAAGGGGCACTGCCAAAGCTCGAGAAGCTTAAGCTGTGTTTCTTTGTGTCAATGGCAAAGGCCTATGGGTTCTACTTAGGTATTGATCACCTCCCATATCTGAAAGATGTACAAGTTACTCTTGAGAACGGGGATGCCACACCTCCTGAAGTTGAGGCTGCAGAAGTTGCCATAAGGAAGGAAGCAAATCTCCGTGTATGGTTAACTCTCCGATGAAGAGATGAAAGAGTGGAAGGAGGTATTGCTACTTTTACTGTTACGAAATCTAAATAGTCCATTTGGCTGTGTGCAATCAGATCTATTGGTTTTCTCCTTGAATATGTGTGTATTTTCCCCATATTTCCAAGAAGCTTCCTGGCGGGCTGACATTCCATCTCTGTAGGGAAACTGCTCTCCTTCAGTATAACTGCGTGTGGTTTCACTGGAATGGTGTTCTGAAGATATTATTCTCGTTGCCTGAAGCTCAAATAAAAGTGGCCTATAGTTGCTATTTGATTATAATGTTTGGTTTTCCTTTATGTGTGAACTTGGAATCAGACTGTTTCAAAAAATTTACCACTACTGTTAATAATTACACTACGGAAGTCGACCTTTGTTATGATGTATCCAGAGATATTCGAGGCGGAAACTGAAGTATACCCTGCTTGTCTTTGGCATGTGTGCATATGTTTTGGTATCTCACGTCAGGGCCCCCGTGCGTTGAACAGCTAGTTTTAGCTGATTGTAACCTTGTCAGGAATAAAACTCGTTTTTCCCTCGCAAAAATAGAAGATGCTAGTATGTGGTAGGGGTGCGCTCTGGCAGCTGATTGCAAGCTCTTTTGTTGATTGAAGTGCTGGCTGGACCCAGAAATACGGGCTGAAATTTCCAGAGTCAGGGTGAAACTGAGGAGTAGCAATGCACTACTCATGTGAATCAACATCAACCTGATTGCCTAGCTAGTTGGAGGATCCATGATGGTTCTGTAGGCCAAGCGTACAAGTTGTCTATGAGAGCGGGGTACACAAATAAAACAGGGGATTGTTCTCTGCCTGCTCGGGCTGACTTCTGATGGCTCAGGCACATGACACCATCAGTAATATTTTTTTTAAATGTTTATACAATGTGAAAAAATGTCCGTACAATTTAAAAAAAAATTCTATCACTCAAAAAAATGTTTCATGTGTATTTTAGAATTTTTTTAACAAATATTAAAAGCATGTATTTGGAAAAAAATTAATCATGTATTTGAAGAATGTTGAAAGTATATAAAAAGTATTTATATATATAAAAAATGTACAATATGTATGAAAAAATAGACATCAAATTACATATTCTAGAAAATATTAATCATGTATTTGGGAAATATTAAGCGTGTGTAATAATTGTCCCTTGTGTATAAAAAAATTGTACAATGTGTATGAACATTATGGGCGTGTGTTGAAAAGGAAGAAATGAAATAAAAAATAAATAGGAAAACAGAAAAAGTAAAGAAAACTAAGAAAAAACAAAGAATAGAAGACAAAATAAAAAGGGGAAACCAAAGAAAACCGCTGAGGATACTAAAAGAACCCATAATAAAATAACAGAGAAAAAACCGTAGACTGAGGTACGAGGACCGTCCTAGTAGAGTCGCACCAGAGGTGAGACTGAGCTACGACTTGCCTTGCCCCGGTGCTCCCCATCCAAAGCCGATGTAGATAGCTGAGAGCAATTCCAATGGGCCGACCCAAATGAACGGCGTATTTATCCGTTTTTTTTTGTCTGTTTGGGTCGGTCGTCCGCCCGGCGTCCGTTCAGTTTTGTATTTGGATTGGCAGTACGTCCAACGTGCCAACCCATTTTATATCCGTATTCAACTTTTTTTTAAATGGTCCGCGGCCCCTTATGCCAGCGGCCATGTCTCATGCCGGCATTATGCCAGCGCCGGCATACAATGCCGATTCTAGAAAATATCATCACAGTTCATGCTGGCGCACTCACCAGCCGGCTGCCATATATGCCAGCACACAAAAAGGGTGGAACTTGAGTTCGACCACGTCATCGCAACTCCCGTGGTCATGCCAGCACACATGCCGGCATACAAAAAAGATGGCGCTCGCTGCCATAGATCACTCGTCGTCGAACTTGAGCATGTCGGCCTGCATCTTCTCGAACCACGGCCTCTTCCTTGGCGACACGGTGTTGAGATCTACCTTCATGATCTCCACCCCGGTCATCATGCTCGCGAGAGCCACTTCTTTCGCCTTGGTCTTGGCGTTGGCGGCCTCGATCTCTAGCATCTTGGCTTGCTTCTCCGCCTCTAGCTCAAACATCTTGGCTTGGTTCTCGGCGTCCATGTCAAGCCTCCTTTGGATCTCCATGAAAGCGTCTATTTGCTCCGCCTTGAAATACCGGCGCTCCTCCTCCCTTAAGTCCTTCTTATTCATCATGCCGCCCATGCTTGCGATCAAGGCGTTGGTGGCCGCATCTCACTTGTCCTCCTTCTTGGAGTTGGTCTTCCCCCGCGGCCGTGCCGGCTCGCCCTCCCCAACATCCTCCACGGCTTTCTCTCCCCCCCCCCTCCCACATGCCTTGAGTGCGGCATATTGCGCCTTGAACTTCTCCTCGTCCTTGATGACCCGATAGCAATGGAAGAGGTTGAAGCACTTGCCATTGTGTTGAACCTTGAATGCCTCCAAAGCTTGAAATGCCTACAAAATGTTTCCATGCAAGCATATGGGCAAGTGATATGCAAATGAACACGCAAAAGGATGAAGTTGATGGCACAAAAGAGGGTGGCTTGCTTGCTAGCATACCATGTCTTGCATGCCGATGCCGCTCACGGGGCGGGCCTTGACGCTCTCAAGAATGGTGCAAAACTTGTTGCACTTTTGTTGGATCACCCTCCACCGCTTGGAAATGGAGACCCACCCGCGTGTGCTCACAAATTGGTAAGGTGGAAACTTCTTGCGCTCATGAAACTATCAGTGGACACGAATCCAAAAGGTTGAATGCTTTTGCTCGGTGCCCGTCTTGGGGTCTTGTCCAATGTCTCGCCAACACTCGCTAAGAAGCTTGTCCTCGGCCACCGTGTACGTTTTCGTGCGCTTGCTCTTGCGTTTCGGCTTAGGACCGGTGGCTTGGTTGGCGAGCTCGTCCTCGAACAAAGGCTCCACTTCGATGTCACACTCGTCCTCTTCCTCTAGACCGTAGTCGTCCGGGAACTCGTGGTCGAGGGGGAAGCCGTCCAGGTCGATGCCGACCTGATCACCACCTGATCGGGATCATAGCCAGCGGCCGGCGTGAACGCCCCGCGGCCGTCCTTGAAGGAAATATGCCCTAGAGGCAATAATAAAGTTATTATTTATTTCCTTATATCATGATAAATGTTTATTATTCATGCTAGAATTGTATTAACCGGAAACATAATACATGTGTGAATACATAGACCAACAAAGTGTCACTAGTATGCCTCTACTTGACTAGCTCGTTAATCAAAGATGGTTATGTTTCCTAACCATGAACAAAGAGTTGTTATTTGATTAACGAGGTCACATCATTAGTAGAATGATCTGATTGACATGACCCATTCCATTAGCTTAGCACCCGATCGTTTAGTATGTTGCTATTGCTTTCTTCATGACTTATACATGTTCCTATAACTATGAGATTATGCAACTCCCGTTTACCGGAGGAACACTTTGGGTACTACCAAACGTCACAACGTAACTGGGTGATTATAAAGGAGTACTACAGGTGTCTCCAATGGTAGATGTTGGGTTGGCGTATTTCGAGATTAGGGTTTGTCACTCCGATCGTCGGAGAGGTATCTCTGGGCCCTCTCGGTAATGCACATCACATAAGCCTTGCAAGCACTGCAACTAATATGTTAGTTGTGAGATGATGTATTATGGAACGAGTAAAGAGACTTGCCGGTAACGAGATTGAACTAGGTATTGGATACCGACGATCGAATCTCGGGCAAGTAACATACCGATGACAAAGGGAACAACGTATGTTGTTATGCTGTCTGACCGATAAAGATCTTCGTAGAATATGTAGGAGCCAATATGGGCATCCAGGTCCCGCTATTGGTTATTGACCGGACACGTGTCTCGGTCATGTCTACATTGTTCTCGAACCGTAGGGTCCGCACGCTTAACGTTACGATGACAGTTATTATGAGTTTATGCATTTTGATGTACCGAAGGTTGTTCGGAGTCCCGGATGAGATCACGGACATGACGAGGAGTCTCGAAATGGTCGAGACGTAAAGATTGATATATTGGAAGCCTATGTTTGGACATAGGAAGTGTTCCGGATGAAATCGGGATTTTACCGGAATACCGGGAGGGTTACCAGAACCCCCCGGGAGACTAATGGGCCTATTGGGCCTTAGTGGAAAAAGAGAAAAGGGACAAGCCCATGGCTGGCCGGCGCCCCCCCTTTCCCCAAGTCCTAGTAGGACTAGGATAGGGGGCCGGCCCCCCCTTCTCTCTCTTTTCCCCCCGGGAGTCCTAATTGGATTAGGATTGGGGGGAGGAGTCCTACTCCCGGTGGGAGTAGGACTCCCCTGCGCCTCCTCTCCCTGGCCGGCCGGCTCCCCCTCCTCCAACCTTTATATACGGGGGCAGGGGGCACCCCAAGACACACAAGTTGATCCTTGAGATCGTTCCTTAGCCGTGTGCGGTGCCCCCTGTCACCAAATTCCACCTCGATCGTACCGTTGTAGTGCTTAGGCGAAGCCCTGCGTCGGTAGTACATCAAGATCGTCATCACGCCGTCGTGCTGACGGAACTCTTCCTCGACGCTTTACTGGATCGGAGCCCGAGGAACGTCATCGAGCTGTACGTGTGCTAAGAACTCGGAGGTGCCGGAGTAACGGTGCTTGGATCGGTTGGATCGGGAAGAAGACGTACGACTACTTCCTCTATGTTGTGTGATCGCTTCCGCAGTCGGTCTGCGTTGGTACGTAGACAACACTCTCCCCTCTCGTTGCTGTGCATCACCATGATCTTGCGTGTGCGTAGGAAATTTTTTGAAATTACTGCGTTCCCCAACAGTGGCATCCGAGCCTAGGTTTTATGGTTTGATGTTATTTGCACGAGTAGAACACAAGTGAGTTGTGGGCGATACAAGTCATACTGCCTACCAGCATGTCATACTTTGGTTCGGCGGTATTGTTGGGTGAGACGATCCGGACCAACCTTACGCGTACTCTTACGCGAGACCGGTTCCCTCGACGTGCTTTGCACACAGATGGCTTGCGGAAGACTGTCTCTCCAACTTTAGTTGAACCAAGTGTGACTACGCCCGGTCCTTGAGAAAGTTAAAACGGAGTCTATTTGACGAACTATCGTTGTGGTTTTGATGCGTAGGTGAGATGAGTTCTTACTTAAGTCCGTAGCAGCCACGTAAAAC